AGTTCTACCCTTTTCAATATAAGAAACATATTTAAACATAATATCTTTATTGTGCATGTATTTTGTGCAATCCATAATCTGACACAAACCTTGTGTAATGAAAAAAAATATTTATAATCTCTCACAATTTTTTCCCCATTTTTTACAACTTAGGCACTGTAGCATTACAGTAAGCACCGTAGCGGTACAGTAAGAACTGTAGCATGACAGTAAGCACCGTAGCATTACCGTAAGTACCGTAGATGGTACAGTAAGCACTGTAGCATTACAGTACGCACCGTAGCATTACAGTAAGCACTGTAGCATTACAGTAAGTACCGTAGCGTTACAGTAATATTACAGTAAGGACGGGAGGGCACAGAGCTATACAATGAGTGAGTGAGCGAGTGAGTTAAGATTTAAAGTCACATCGGCCATATTTCAGCCATATCGTGACTAAAACTAGTTCTAAATTTATAATACATACATATAATATATAAAACCCTGTCAACGAAGGACAGTAAGACCACTAGATTATCACAGATTGAGTTAAAACTAGCTAGCATACATCTTTAAAAGTAGAAAATTATTTCTAGACAATACAATGTAAAATTGGGCTATAGATCGCCAACAACTTAAGGTAGATCACCATACTAGGGACCAAGGGGACTTACAGTGTCTTTGCTACCTGCATGGACCCTAGTTGGATTTACACCATCCCTTCAGCCGCTGGCGATTGTAGGACAATTTTAGCCGAAATTTAAAGGAACAAAAATACTACGATTAAAATGTGGTAAATTTACATAAAACTTTGAAAGTTTTGGGACTTAAGTACCCTCTCAGGAGGACAATTTTTTTACAGTACTTTAACCCCCTTTGAGGGTACAGCCACTAACAATCTAAGTTACTCATCTAAAGTACCAATAATAAAATACATATCTATTAACAAACTATTCATCAAAATTTATCTAGCAATTCTATTTCTTTTAAAAATTCAATGATTAAATGATAATTAACACTAAAAAGATCCTTCACTGTTTTGACATTAAAATATTTATCCCTTGTGATGGCAAAATCAATACAGTCAAGCAACTGTGATTCTTTCATCACAAGGGATACAAAACGGAGGATCCTCACCTTTTAACAGGTATTCATGAGTATACCTTGTATGGCCAATGCGACATCGTCGCATGATGACCTCTTCAAATCTGGACTGACAACCCAAGTAGGTGTAACCAATAAAGGGATCTATTTCTTGTAATTTATTAATACCTACTTGGGTGTCCCACTTCTTTTGCATCAGATCACGGATGTAAGTTCTAATGCTAGCTTTGCAATCAGAGTATGGAATAAGAAGTGGTGTCACAGATTTGTTGAGTGCTGAATTAGCAGCAAGATCGGCCATTGCTTTCCTAGAAACGGCAACGTGGCTGGGTAACCAACAAAAGACGATGTCGCATTGGCCAGAAGCAAGCTCATTAGATAATTTCTATTAAAAGTGGATGTTTACAAGAAATATTTTTAATAGCCTGAAGACACGAAAGAGAATCGGAAAAGATTATGTACTGTTTATATTTACGGTGTTTATTAATATATTTTAGAGCTGTTAGTATTGCGTTTGCTTCTGCTGTGAAAATTGGACTGTCATTGGGTAATCTGGAAGATATTGTTTTGGACCCAGTGACAGTGGCACAAGCTACTGCGCCACTATCCTTGGACCCATCTGTAAATAAGGATTTATATGTATTATATTTACTTTTTAATTGATTATATTCTTGTTTATATTGTAATTCGTTAGTTTCAGATTTTTTAAATGTAGTGAGTGTTAGGTCGTCTTGTGGCCTCACCAATTGCCAAGGAGGAGAAGAAAGAAGACGCGAAGGAGCTATATTTTCCAGCTCAATGCCGGCAGCAGTAATGAATGGCTTAATCCTGAGCCCAAGATGCGGAACAAGAGAAGATTTATTGTTGTACAAATCCTCATAAAGAGGTTTAAAGATACAGTGGAATGCAGGATTAGACTCGTTAGAATATAGTTTGGTAATATATTGTAATGATAATTTTAAACGGCGTTGTGCAAGAGAAGGCTCATCGGCTTCGACGTAGAGACTATCAACAGGAGATGTTCTGAATGATCAAAGACAAAGTCTCAGACCTTGGTGGTGGACAGAATCTAATAGTTTTAAGTTGCTTTTGCAGGCTCCACCATATACGATGGAGCCATAATCAAGCTTCGAGCGGACCAATCATCTATACAGGTGTAGGAGGATAGTTTGGTCCCCTCCCCACTTTGAATAAGAAACGACTTTCAATAAATCGAGGGCCTTCAGGCATTTAGTTTTTAGGGATTTGATATGCGGAAGAAAGGTTAAATGGGAGTCAAAAATCAGACCTAAGAACTTGGCCTCCTTTACAACCTTGATGGGAGTGCCATTTAAAAACAGTTCTGGGTCTTTATGTGGTTTATATTTACGGCAGAAATGAATACAATTAGTTTTGGATTTAGAAAATTTAAAGCCGTTTTCAAGACACCATTTATTTATCTTGTTTAAACACAACTGCAGTTGCCGTTCAATAGTATGCATATTTTTACCGCGACAAGAAATGTTAAAATCATCCACAAAAAGTGATCCATCGATTGAATCATTTAAAACCTTGGATAAACTGTTGATCTTGATACTAAACAAGGTAACAGACAAAATACTGCCTTGTGGAACACCCTGATCCTGATTGTAATGATCAGACAGGGTAGAACCCACTCGGACTTGAAATTGCCTGTCTGTTAAAAACTGTGATATAAAAAGAGGTAAACGACCCCTTAAACCAAAATCATGTAAATCCTTTAAAATGCCATGCTTCCAGGTGGTATCGTATGCTTTCTCGAGATCAAAGAATATTGATACTGCATGTTGTTTATTTACTATTGCATTTTTAACAAAGGATTCCAAACGTACCAAATGATCAATGGTACTACGATTTTTCCTGAAACCACATTGAATATTTGTTATAAGGTTATTGGTTTCAAGATACCATGTTCATCTATTATTCACTATTCGTTCCATGGTTTTATTGACGCAACTCGTTAAAGAGATTGGTCTGTAATTAGACGGATCTGTATGATCCCGGCCAGGCTTTGGAATAGGGACAACAATGGCATTACGCCACGAAGTTGGGAAATTCCCTGTAGTCCATATCATATCAAATATATTTAGCAGCGTTTCCAAATATGACTCGGGCAAATGCTTTAGGAGCTGATAGTGGATATCATCAGCCCCTGTTGCTGTATTACGAGCTTGCTCAAGGGCAGTATGGAGCTCATGTAACGAAAATAATTCGTTATAGTCTTCACCATTGTCTGAGTTAAAATTTAATCTTTTCTTCTCCTGTTGTTTCTGAAACTTTTGAAACTCAGGGACATAATTTGATGAAGATGAATGCTTGGCGAGAGTTTCACCAAGTTTGTTAGCAATGTAAGTTTTATTAGTTAATAAATTTTAACCATCCTTCAGATGGTGAACAGTAGATTTAGCACCTTTGCACTTTATTCTTTGAATCATGTTCCACACCTTTGACATAGGCGTGCGTGAATTTATTTTAGTTACATAATTTCGCGAAGACTGACGCTTATTTTGTTTAAAAGCACGTCTTGCCTTGGCATTTCAAATTTTAATTTTGTTTAGATTATGAACAGTAGGATGTCGGCGAAAATACTTTTCCGCTTTCTTCCTACACTTTCTGGCCTGTTTACATTCATTTTTGAACCATGGCTTACGGAAGTGTTGAATTGCAGAGGACTTGGTTATAGTTTGGTCAGCAATGTTGTTCAGTAGATCTGAAAATAACTGTATAGGATCTTCGCTGTTCGCAAAATGTCATGTTGTAAGTGATCGGTACATAGTGTCTTATATAATGACCAGTCAGCCCTGGCGAAGTTCCGTCGTGATATGTGTGGATCATCACCAGGGTTGATTGTTTTGAGAATGGTGGGGAAGTGATCACTCCCACACAGGTCATCATGAACCATCCATTCAAATTCATTATATAAGTTTGTGAGTGACAGATCCAGGGAAGAATATGTTCCCATAGCTGGATGTAGATAAGTGGCTGAACCATCATTGAGAATACATAGATTATTATCATAAATGAATTCCTCAAGGATTTTACCTTTAGTATTAGTATGGTCACTTCCCCAAAGCGGGTTGTGGCCGTTCAGATCGCCCATGATGAGGCATGGCTTCGGAAGCTGGTCATATAGGTGTTTAAGATCCGACTGTCTAATATCAGAAGAGGGATGAATGTATAAACTGCACAGAGTCAATGCAATATGCAGGGTGATGCGAACAGCAAGTTAGAAGATTTGTACTAAGATGGACAGGGCTGTGTATTATCCCTTGCCGTACCAACATGGAAGCACCTCCAGTTGCTTTGTCTCCTGGAGGAGAAAAAGAGTGATAATCACTATACCGTCTCAGAATAAAGTTATCTATATGTTTTAGATATGTCTCTTGGAGACATATAGCTGACGGTTGAAAAATCCTGTGTTACTAATGGAATCTCGTTGAAATTATATTTGAGTCCTGCAATTCCATTGAATTAAAGTGGACAATTGAGTCATGGTGCCCCAATTGGTGATCTTCCGCGTGAATGTGAGGAAGTGGAGTTCCTCCGTGTGTCCTGAGAGGACGGTGACACCTCCATATCTAGAGGTTCAAAGGGGTTCTCAAAAGGAACCTCTGAAGGTATTGGGACTGTAGGTAATTGTTTCCTGTTGAATTTTGTTCCCTTTCTTTTTGGGCAAATGACCAGTGTTAGACTGTTTAGCTGACGCTTGTGATGTCTCTGGCTGAGTCTTAGTCTGAGAGTCTGATGAAGACTGAGAGCTAGATAAAGTCTGACATCCAGATAATTCCTGAGAGGCAGATGGAGATTGACTGGCTCGGGATGTCGATGGTAAGACTGAAGCAGAATTCATGGGCTTCTCTGACTTGACCCATGTCAGATCTGTTTGACAGTATCATAATAGTTCGCTTCATGTGTTGATATAGAACAATCCAGTCCCTGAATACAAAAGGAAACGGGCGAATGCCAGGAAAAGAATGGGGAGATTAAGGCAAAGGGTATGTTTTTTAACTTTAAGACACTGTCTACGTATATTTATGTTGTGCTAATAACTAAGTTTGTGTTCGTATTCGTTCATGCCCTATAAAGTTTACATTTTAAAAGCTTTCCTAGAGAATACATATTTTTCTATATGAAATAAATACAATATATTCAAATTCTTTATCATTGTTGTTTTACTTGCCTTACTTTACATTAAGGTGCGGAATTTTTGTAAAATTCAAGGGATGCCACAAATGGCCCTAGTGCACCTCACAACCGAGGGAACATTGAAGGTTGTTGGTATGCTTTTTTTACATTTCATCTGAAATCATATCCAGATTGTTAATGTCGAATAGCCTGACATGCCGTCTTGGGTGTACACAAATAGAGCTCTCGTCAATGCTGAACTTCTTAATTACTGATATAGTATTTAAAAACAAAGTATATGTGCTAATATAAAAAACGTTTCGCTCAATTGAAATAACATTTCGTTCCCATATTGTAATATATATTATATATAAGTAAGTGGACTATCTATTGAAAAAACTCGTGTCTCATCGCTTTACCATAAAATACAATCACTTAAAGCTTTTTAATGCCTTTTAACTTAATTATATTAAAACAGGACACCAAGATATGGTTGAGGCTGTTGGCCGCAGCAACCTGGTTAACATACTGAATATTGCGCCGGTAGCGCCCGCTACCACTCAGGAAGGTACGTGCTCTCACTCCTCATACTTTACTTACAGTAAGAGCATAACATATATCATGTTAAATACCACCTTATTTAATTTGAAATATTTTTAGAGGAAAAAGTCGACCTTCGACGCATTTCCGTGGCGGTGGACTACGCCGACGTCCGGGACGTCCACCTATTAAGACGAGCGGTCACTCAGGTCACAATTGACAAAGGTAACGTCTGTGCGTTTTGGGTGCGTGCGTGCATGCTTGTGTATCGTCACACACAAGAAAGAATTATTCAATATTATATATACCATATTATTAGAATTACCTGCAATGTAACATATATGATATAATCTATCCTGTTGTTCCCAGGTGCCAAGGGATCCCGATGTATTTGGGGAAACGAAGGCCTTCGGCCTTTTTGGTGGCCTGAGGGTGTGCCGTTTGTGGCGCCCTCAGCAACACACACGGACGATGGTATGCTTTTCACACAAATCTCCTTATCTCAAACTTTTACTCAGGAATGGAAATTATGTAAAGTCCACTTCTTTCCCAGAATGAAAATCGATGTTAATTAAGGTCATGTACTAATAATCTCAAGTACATGACCTTTTAATGGATAACAACTTCTGCATAACAGTCACCTAATCACGTACCCAGAAGTAGCACTGGTACGTCCTTACCAGCAATAGACAGTTGTCTCCATGTCCTTCCAACGCATACCACATGCCTCGCAAAGAATCAATAAGTACTTTTTTCCAACTGTATCCTTAAGAATTCATATGGAAATAAATATAGCAATGAGCAATGATATATTTAGTTAATGTTCTTCTCAACACGGTCCTCGCTGTAGTCCACACACAGTATATAGTGCTACTGAGAAACATGTTATTGCTTTCATGTGGATGCTTCGTGTAGAAGTCGTCAATAAGGGGCATTAACACGATTGTTGAAGAAGGGGGGTTCAATGCAACCTGTATCATATGTATTATTTATTCAAAAAATAATAAAAGTGTATTTGTAATTATATTGTGTCATTCTAAAAGTTTTTTTCAGTGATTAAGTTGTAAATAATATTCATGCTCACGCATATTGGTTACACTTTACAATTATAGAAACAAATAAGGTGTTAATAATCACAATAATCTTCGATCTCAGCTGGCACTAAACATCGGCTGCAGACGGCAGACAACCTGAGACATATCATGTGCAGCTGGAAACGCCACGTGATATCGGTAATATACATGATATATTATATTCTTTTTCTGAAAACGATAAATTAAAGTATATTTTAAATTATCTCTCTAGCCGAGTTATAGTTCAGGAGGCTGTCTTAAGGGTTCTCCCTCACGGGCCTTGTTTTGAGTAACTTTCATTGTTGACAAATTACGAACGGAAATGGATTCTATTTATTCCTTTTTCAGAAACTTAATTCTAGCGGTTATGTCAATTCGGCCGATAGCCATGAAGTGGTATTATCCCTGTATTTGCGTTGTTTGTTGAAGTTTCTATTTAATTGTTCCTTTTCCTTTCAGTTTTCACAATACTAACCAACATATAGAGCACTGTCTTGATATAGACATGACTCACCTACACCATCATTCCAGCGTGCAATGTACACAATACTCCATTAACTGTAGGTAACTTTTACATTTTGCCGGTAATCCGCCCAATATCAATCTGGCAATTTTGCTAATTTCCAAAGTTCTTACCCCAAACTCTCGATCAGATTTCTACAGTTCTTAATTGTTCTTAATTGAGCAAAACATATTAGGTTTTTTTTAGTTTATATACTTTCAATGTACAGCAAACATTATGCTTGTACATAATCATTTTTGTATGTTTTGTTACGTAAGAAAACAATGCAAACAATGACATTAAAATATATTATGGAATATTAGGGTTATAGTTCGTGTCTTTCATTGGTGTTCTCACCATGCGCAGCTAACAAGAGCATCTGTACTTCAATAGACTGACTGACTGAGTTTAGTTTTACGCCGCTTTTAGCAATATTCCAGCAATATCACGGCGGGGGACACCAGAAATGGGCTTAACACATTGTGCCCATGTGGGGAATCGAACCCGGGTCTTCGCCGTGACTAGTCAACGCTTTAACCACTAGGCTACCCCACCGCCCACTTCAATAGAACATGTCATATCATATATTGAATAGCTGGTATCTACTCATCAGAGTTGCCAATTTCTACAATTATGTTTCTTATTTTATAGTTTATACACTAACTTCGTTATGTAATGAATCAATAATTTTTGAATGATATAAAGTTAATTGTAATAAGTTCAACATTTAATTGAAGCGTTATGTTTACGCCTAAGTGCATTTCGGCACACATATTCAAAGTAAATTATCCTCACATTACATATTTTTTTGTCTTATAGCTTTGTGTCTAATGGCTATATTTATATTTTAGCTTGAACAGATAATCAACAAGAACCTAGTAAGTAAAATCATTCATAACAACAAAGCATTAAAACATATATCCATTTTGCGTCAGAAAGGTAACAGGTCAATAAAACAATCTGCCATGTAATAAACACCACATACATCCATGTTGCATCTGGAATTCTGCTGATTTCTTTGTATTTGTACCACATATTAAATGCCTGCTTCAATTACAATGCAACTAATACACACACAGGATCAATGCCATGTGGCCTTCACAAATCTCATTTACCCGTTTACTTGTTGATGAACTTTGTTACAGGATGAACTTACCTAAACGTTTATGATAAATACACAGTACCAATGGAAAGTGGCGTGTAGAACGTCCGTTTTCTGTAAGCGAGGCACTGTTTGCCCTAATACCTAAACAGTGAGATGTTTACTGATAAATACACAGTACCAAGTGGCGCTTACAGCTGTAGAGTGCCCGTTTTCTGACTTATAAGCGCGTTTTCTGACTTAAGCGCCACACAGGTACACTGTTTGCCAAAACACAGGTAACACTACACTGTTTGCCCAAAGTAAGATGGTTCTAATAAAACGCACTTTGGTGCTTACAGCTGTAGTGTGCCAAAAGTGAGAGTGAGATGTTTCTGATAAATACACTTCATCAATCACATGTGGCGCTTGCAGCTGTAGAGTGCCCGTTTTCTGACTTATAAGCGCCACACAGGTACCCTGTTTGCCAAAAGTGAGATGGTTCTAATAAATAAATAATAATAATAATATGGTAATGTTTGCGCCTAGAATCCAACACGATGCTGCTCTCTGGCGTTACATTATTACCCTGACGGAATTGTACTTTCAAAGCTGCTACTAAGCGCTTCGCGCGACCGTATAGGTCCGTACATCCGCTTCTCAGGTACCCATGTTAAACAGCTGGGTGGACTGAGTGCAATGTGGACGAAGTGCCTTGCCCAGGGACACAACACAGTATGAGACCCAGGTCTCAAATTCTGGTGTCTCCACCGGGATTCGAACCCCGGCCTGTGGCGTGCGAGGCCAGCATGCTAACCACTACACCACTGTGCTCCACTTCACATGTGGCGCTTACAGCTGTAGAGTGCCCGTTTTCTGACTTATAAGCGCCACACAGGTACCCTGTTTGCCAAAAGTGAGATGGTTCTGATAAATACACTTCATCAATCACATGTGGTGCTTACAACTGTAGAGTGCCCGTTTTCTGACTTATAAGCGCCACACAGGTACCCTGTTTGCCAAAAGTGAGATGGTTCTGATAAATACACTTCATCAATCACATGTGGCGCTTACAGCTGTAGAGTGCCCGTTTTCTGACTTATAAGCGCCACACAGGTACCCTGTTTGCCAAAAGTGAGATGGTTCTGATAAATACACTTCATCAATCACATGTGGCGCTTACAGCTGTAGAGTGCCCGTTTTCTGACTTATAAGCGCCACACAGGTACCCTGTTTGCCAAAAGTGAGATGGTTCTGATAAATACACTTCATCAATCACACGTGGCGCTTACAGCTGTAGAGTGCCCGTTTTCTAACTTAAGCGCCATAAACGTATACAGTTGGTAACAGGCGCCCAGAGTAAATATACAAGATCAGTGACCTGTAGCAAGTCCTTCTTGAACTAGTTTCAACTCGTGTCGTATATGAAACTTAACGAATTCCATCTAACATGCTGCCAGGAACCTCTCAATGACACACCGTTGTTTTCCCACTTGTAGCCACCAGCCGAAAATATAAGCCAGCAATCCCAAGAGAAATGCTGCGGCTTGGAGAGCGCCATGAGAAAGGTAGATTTAGACAGGAACATTTGCTTAAACCTACCCCGTCATTATCCTCCAACCTACTCACATAGAAGGGATGCGTCCCAAAAGGTTTAGACACTTTGTAAATGGCATGTGGCGCTTACAACTGTAGAGTGCCCGTTTTCTGACTTATAAGCGCCACACAGGTACCTTGTTTGCCAAAAGTGAGATGGTTCTGATAAATACACTTCATCAATCACATGTGGCGCTTACAACTGCAGAGTGCCCGTTTTCTGACTTATAAGCGCCACACAGGTACACTGTTTGCCAAAAGTGAGGTGGTTCTAACAGAGAACAAAATTCGAGTAAACGCGTTTTAAGAGTCATATTTTTGAAACCTTAGAGCCATATGAAATAGTCTAGAGTTTAAACAATCATTTGTATTTTATTCGCCTACAGAATGATCCCAGTGGTGCCATCTCTGCAATAGTGGATGGACTCTATTGTATGAAACATTTGGAGGACATCGAAGCGGGAGGCATCTTTAAATTCCGATTTGCGCCAAACTGTGTGCCCAACACGAGAAGGTATGGTGATAGTAAAGCGAGTTGGTATTCGTATATACTCTAGCATTGTTTCAGCTGAATATAACGGTTATTTTTTACATAATTAGGTCTGTGCGCAGCATACGGCCTACAATGACATCCAATCATGCAACATGGTCACACGTGTGAACTGATCTGTATCCACTCTCTAAGGCCATGGTTGCGCCGTAAAGTCGAACATTATCACTATAACTATACTGTTTAGACATTTCTTAGTATTAGGACTAAAATGAATCAAGTCACTATATTTTCCTACAGGCAATTTGTCGAGGTACCCTCTTCAAAGGTAGCATGTGGGGAGGGGAGCTCACTTTGGGAAGTATTCGGAGGATTCCCCGATGTTCTTGTGCTGGCCACTTTCGCTCATGGCTTTGTGCACAAGGAGCATTACGCTCAACAGGTGAGTATTTACCAAAAGCCAAAAGTCCTTTGTAAATGAGACATTCTAAATATCAACAGCTCACTTTTTGCGTAATATTGATACCATTCGCCGCTCTGTAATTCGTGCTTTTTATGTCGTTAGTTGAACTTATTCACGAAGGAATAAGCACAAGATGTAAATTTTGCCTAAGCACATGTTTTTGGCCGAAATATTTGTACACACATTGACGTACATGTCCAATATATTATCAGCTCATCAAGTTGGGCGAAACAGCCGAATCTTTAGGCGAGCGTTTCGGCATCCGTGCCTCCACTGAACAGTCAGTGGAGGATGTGGTAGCAGCAGCAACGGAAAGGATCCTAGCTGGTCCCAGCATGCCCAGTGAGTATTTAAACAATTATGTTTAGTTTTCCATTATGTTGATGACATCTGTGTATATATTTTCTAGGACTCACTGGTACCTACTTGCAGTGGCACCAGAGAATGCATGGGTTACTACAAGTAGTACCAATGCCATCTGTGTATATATTTTCTAGGACTCACTGGTACCTACTTGCAGTGGCACCAGAGAATGCATGGGTTACTACAAGTAGTACCAATGCCATCTGTGTATATATTTTCTAGGACTCACTGGTACCTACTTGCAGTGGCACCAGAGAATGCATGGGTTACTACAAGTAGTACCAATGTTGATAACTAATGCATATACATTAAACTTTATATTGATGTTCAATTAATCTTTTCAATAAATATCCCATGTTGTTGTTATATATGAATGATTTACTGAAGTTGACTCAATTTCATAAGCGTATTATTATAAAATATTAGGAGCTATTCGTAACTTTGTTTCCTTTCTTCTGTGTATCTGTAATGAACAATGGTTAGGGTGACTTTGCAGTGTACGGACCTATCTGAAAGCGTTCCACGTTTTATGAACTTTCCCCCGTCTTGGTGTTCGATTACTTCTAAGCGGGGCGTTATAAAGCTTAAACAACCACTCACTGAACTAACTTCTGCAATCCAGACATCGGAACCATTATGCTCATTGCTGGGGCACTAAAGAGGGAGGTGGTCGTGCACATGGAGGATAGAACAATTTCAGCACCACCGTGCACATGTTTGGAATACTTTGAAGGCGAGGAGGTGCATGTGTACGTGGACAGAGGCGGAAGGGCCTACTATCTGACGACAAAAACTGGTGATGGTATAGAAACAAAACTGTAGTCTTGGAAATTTAAATACTTGCAATGTTTGTTTGCTTGATATTTAATGCCGCACTGAGCAATATGTCAGTTTTAAGATGGTGGTATGTAAATAATCGAGTCTGGACCAGACAATCATCACTGTTTATGCTACTCGCCTATTAGAATTATGTATTCATAATTGTGTTGCATGAAGATCCTTTCAGCAGATAACGTTGTTGAAATTGAAAGGGTTTTGTAACTTTTAGTTAAGGTATATGCAGCGATATATGAAACAAGAGATTCCAGCTGTAGTCACCTGTATACCTTACTCACTGTACAATGGCGTCTCTTGTTGCAGAAAAGACCCACATCATGAAGGAGGCGAACAGGTATGTACTAGGTAGTTATTAACATGTCAATCAAGAGTCATAATGACTAGATGTAACTAAACATACAAAAGTAAAGAGAAATTTTCATGATTAGTTTATTCCGTGACCAGTTTATAACCAGCATGATAACCTGTACTTTATTCCTGCTGCAGATTTGAAACAGAAGATCCTGACAGAAGGTGGGCAAATTTCGAAAACACATAAACTGCCACTGCATCCGGCCTGACCTAATTCATATAATGCTTAACAGACAAATATAACATTTTAGAAGAATGAAAGAACTTACATCTCAAAGTCTTTGATAATTGTTCCAAAGTTTTTTATCCTGCTTTTGTCGAGACGATTCCGGCCATAAAGAAAATCCTCTAAATAAATGTTAAAGAGAAAACTTGACCCAAGGAGGAAGGCTTCAGGGACAATAAATATATGCAACTATCTTTTTCAGAGTCATACTTTATAAAAGGCTTTTCGTAACAGCAACAGAACTCAGAGCTGTTATGGCTAATGAATGGCTTGACGACCATGTCGTCGACACCTGTCTTTGGTAACTATCTGCTTTGTTAAAAGAGAAAAGAGAAAATATGTTTGTAGAACAACTTATACTGCATTTTTAAAGTTTCACTTTTTTAGTTTGACTAATTACTGCCCAAAGAATCAACTTTCCTAAATCGTAGTTTACAAACTTTTATCCATTGACAATGAATAACAAATTTATAGGCCACATAACAATCAATTATTACATTCACTTTTCAAAATAAGGTAACTTGTTTTAGGACGGGAAAACACGTTTCTGATATAGACAATTATCCTAATTAAAGTACTACGTAATTTCAATCATGTTTTCGTTTTTATAATATTATATGCTTGCTGTATCAAATTATAAATATTATATTATTTTTCGGAAAGTGTGTAGATTTTCATTTCATACAAAATTAACTGGCAAAAATACAGGGTGGTGCTCACTTTATGCACGGATGTATATCCTTAATATTCCAACAGTTTCAACAACAATTTAGAAAGCAATCACATTTAAAATATTTGATGAAATGTATTAATATTTCATTCTCGAAAAAGTCTTCAAAAAAGATGCTGGTGTTCAAATGTAAATTATCATATCAATAACAATTATAATTTCTAGGTTCCTAAACAGACAAATGTGCGAGACTGTGGCGTGTTCACAGTCATGTATGCTGTTGGTCTACTGAAGGTACACCATCATGTCTGATATTAGTAAACAGCAATTTGCCTGAAATAAATCAGTGAGATGAGTGGGGGAACAAATCAGTAGTCAAAATAATTCAGTTATTTTTTAAGTCAGCAAAGGACATGTTACGGTAATCTATTTTGATTAAAATTTGACTTTTATTACGTTTACGAATTTTTTTGTTTAATTTCATTTGTTAAATGCAGAGTACACCCTCATCCAACACAAAACATTTTCTTGTACAAATTTACAAAGTACTAATGAAACTGTTTTGTGCCTTTTAAGGAAAGCAATTTGAGCCAGATACAGTGGTCAACACTCGTGTCATCTGACATAGAAGACACTGGGAGAAAGATAATACATGACACACTAATGAAATGGTGCTGTTGAATACGAACGTGAGTATGCCAGAAAAGGAAAACAATTTATACATATATAACATTATGTTTCTTTGAAAAAACATCTCTATTCATAGTGAATCAATATTAACCCTAAATGTGTTGCTGTTGCTATACTTGGTAACCTGATGTTTTTTTTATATCTGTGATGTTTTACAGACAAAATACATTCAACATGAGCAAACTGAAACAATTGTCAACATGAGTAGAATACATAAAACTGAATAACCACCAGCATATACATATGTAAATTTCAGTGGAGAAAATCTATGTATGTGCAGCTCAATTCAATTTGCATATTTATAATGCAAGAAACAAAAAGTAGGGGACCAATACTGGAACACTCCTCCCACGCCTGCTTACTATTTCAATTCTTGTTAGAGAATGAGGTGACAAAGCTTAAAGAACATCTTCCTCTACCGCACTGTGTTTTCCTTCAAAGTCATCCGGTTTCATCTTTGAGATTTCTACCTGTCGCCTTCCATTAATGTTCAGCAAGCCGAGTACACGCGAATATTAGCGAGACCTCGCTTCCGAACACCCGCGCTGAAACGAGTTCACGCGTGTACGCGCGATTTGCCTCAGGAGGTAGTGCGCCAAACAATCCAAGATGGCGTCCAGCATTGCGAAGCTTGTACCGCTGCAAATGACTAATGCCGATAAAACCGTTGTATTTACGGTTCACGTTCACCCTGATGTACAGGAGAAATGTGTGCAAGGTAAGCTTAAGGTAAGGAAGCGTTTTAATTGAATACGTGCACATTTTGTAGTATTGGGCTTCATTGGACTAAATCGATTATCTGTACAGTCATGGGACATAGGTATTCGTCAGCCGGCAAAATTCTCATAGACTTGCATTGTTATTTTAGTGTAGCTGTAATAATTTTGCAGGTTGTTAGGAAATCATCTTGGTCACAGATACATAATTTCCATGTAATGTTCCTTTAAGTATTTTCCGCATTGTAGTTACATGAGCAACATACATATACAACATTGTGCATTCTATCCCCATAGACCGCCATGTTAAACATTCTCATAACCATGACATGGCATCAATCAAAGTGCAGTCATTCTTGAAATACTGAATGGAAAAATAAAACGGAAATTGTGTCTTTGGAGCTGAGATGATTCATGACACATGTGCAAAATATGAACAAGATCAAACGACAAATAAATTCAAGGTAACTTTTCTAGCTTCACAAAATTAACATGTAAGTCTATGGAAATTATGCACAGTGACGAATACTCATGTCCAATGACTGCATATTGTTGCAATATTGGCGGGAGTATCTGAACGAGTGAACAAATATTTTCCTGTTTCTTGTCCACACTTGTTTATTTGTGTAAATGTATTTGTATAAATGTATTTGTTTAACGTCTTTCACACATACAACGCATAGAGCCATGGTTGATGCTGAATGATTATTTTTTTTCACCTTTTTGAGGTTTCTATACCATAAGTGTTACCTAATATATTTTATTTATTTCACAAAATGCAAATACTTTTCGTTTACATTAAAGTCATAATGTCGATTTTCTTCATCAGTTATTTTGAAGTTCCCCCATTTTACTAACGTCTATGAACCCACCGCTCAATCCGCCTACGAATCCACCGGATTTCCACGTCTACGAACCAGTCTAGTCTACGAATTCACCTACAGCCATCTGAACTAGACAGTACATTTTTAGATTCCACTTGTTTCATGAGCCAAACTTTTCATAAATCTTTGGGGCATATTAGTTACTTTCCAGTGTTTTATTTGTGAGTTTTGTTGAGTCGTAAATGATTTTGTATATGTTTTTATCTGCAGACACACAGTTGGCAACTGAGATGTTTATACGAATGGAGGAGAAGTACAAAGTGGACTCTTCAGGCCACAGAAATCTTAGTAAGTGAGAGAGTACACCACAGTACATAACATCTTAATGTATCAGTTACATGGAAACCTGAGTCTGGATTCACTAAACTTCTAAGAATTTTCTTAGTTTTTTATACTTAAGTTTCCTAAGAATTCTTAGCTGAGAATTTATCTTAAGTATCAATCCACCATGCGACTAAGCAGAAATCTTAGCTGAGAATTTTAAAAATTCTAAGTGAGAAACGCATGGCAAAGCACAAACACCGCTCTGGTTCAGCATGCGCGAGTCATGAGTGGAACCGGGCCATTTCGCAACAACATCAATGATATGTCAACTGTGGTCAAAGACAACCTGAGTATTGATGCTGTGGTACTGCTTCCTGTTCACATAAATAGGTTCGTGCTGAGATGGTGCCATCTATAACCCCAACCACTCCGGAAAAATTAGCGATGCCATAGAAACCAAGTTGGTTTCGTCGGATTTCAGTCGGACTGGTTGGAAATGAAACGAACTGGCGAACAATGGCAGGGGCAGACAGTGCAGTTATTGTTTGGTTAATGGCCCTACTCACTGAAGACCGTGAAACACCAATGTTGTCCGCATTACATAGCTGCATTTTGCCTGTGGCAAAGTAACGCAGCATGATTAGAACTTTGTCAGTAGCTGATAAAGGATTACTTCTTCGAGTCACAGGTGAAATTTCATTTGAAATGAGACTTCATAAAAATTGTATACCACTTTTGGATAATCTAAATATTCGTGTCAACTCGGTTTCTGTTGTTTTTTTCTAAAATGTTGGTTCTGTCGATGAATGCATTGGCGGCCATCTTTGTTTACTTTAAGAAAATTCTTAGTGCTTAAGTAACCTATGGAGGATTCTTAAGTTAAGACAAAATCTGAAGCACTAAGAGGTTTGATGAATATTGCTTAAGCAAAAATCTTAGTTTTAGATACGTTGCTATGGAAACTAAGAATTAGTAGACTTAAGAATTCTTATGGCTTAAGAATATTTACTTAAAATTAATATGGGCAGTCTTTTCAATTAAAATATTTAAGAAATGAGTAATTATATATGTATCTTTCACAGGAATGTTTTAACTGTTCACTTTTGAATATGTTTCTTTACTAATAAACATGTGTTTTTTTCATCTAGGAGCCACTGGTAATATTATCTTTTCTGTTTCCAGCATGTTCACAATAGCTACAGCAAATCCCTTTGCAAAGAATTAATCTTGCTTTAATCTTGCTTAATCATGTCTGTATTACATGCTGTTGTGGGTAGTAGTATTAGTTTCTTAATTATCCCCCTAGGGGGATATAGTCAACGCCCTGTCCGTCTGTCCGTAATGATTTTCTGAAGACTCTTGTTGCTTTTACTATCCTATGTTTCCTATCATTGTCTTATGTGTTCCCCTTAGCACAGTCCTCTTAATACATTTGTCACAATTCATCACCTTCTTATCATGTTTAATGAATTGCACACGCTTATGGCTTATCCATTGGATGGCTTACTGGTACAATAATGTGAGGTGCACATTCTTGAAGTCTTTCTACTGGTGTGGTTTTCTTTGCCTCTTAATATTTACTATCTTCTCTACTCATCTTTTATAAAGTATACACATGTATGTATAAACCTATGTATATAGTGTTTGGATACAGCTATTTTCAATATATATATATAATAAAGTAATTAGTCACTTTCATTTTAATGTAATGAATGAAGTAATGTATCTCATAATGGTACTTGTCAAACTTGCTGTAATAGTTATAGATTTGACTGTACATGCTGTATGACATATTAAAAATTTTTACTTTTTGTTAGGTGCAGGTTTGGGAGGAAAGTTATTACCGGTAATCCTTATTTCCTTTTACTTTCAGTTTTAAAGGTAAAGGTATTTTTGTGAGATAACAAAAAGTGGCGATTTTACATGAGTAACAATTTAAATATGTTCATTGACTTATTGCTGGAAAAATTATTCTTATTGTAAATGTTCCATAATATTTGCCTTATTTTCATTATCCCATTTTCAAATATTATAGTCATTATATTTGAAGAATAAATATTGTATAGAGCTTTTATTTTTTCATTAAAGGTGTTGCTGAATCCTTTGAATTAGCTTCGGAATTTGGATTGTTGAATACTGTCTCCGCTGCTTGTAAAAACAGTGGGGTCAGTATCAGCATGAATATAACAAGACCGACTCACTTTGATGATGTGTCTGCATCTGCATATGTGAAAGATGTGCCGGATGAAATGTTATGTCGCCTTGGGCGGTTAGCACCAAAAGATCTCACGGCACAAGAAAGAGTTAGGTTCCTGGAACAATTGGTAGCATCAGTACCAGATGGTAAGCATTAAATATTACATTTATATGATTGAATAAACAAGGTAACTGTCAATCCCAACAATTGTTTTCATTCTGAGTTACCTTTGAGTATCATTTTAATTTGGATGTGGCAAAAACTATAATACCACTAAAGATTGCTTTCATTATTTGCATCTGCTCAAAACCTTTAGAAGCCCTGTATTATATATATGGTCACACTCTTGAATTTGACCCAGTTTATGTATTGCAGATCATAATAGTGAATTCAGTGTTGAACCCAAAGCCAGTACAAGTAGCGCTGGTGCCAGTGACAGAAATAGATGTGACACACTGGGAGATGACATGGAGCTGGACACACAAGATGACATAGGCACGTACCAAGCATTTTCTTCTGTTAAAAATATTTATTCATAGTCTTCTTTCATTTTATTCATTTGGGAGTAAATTTTGATTAAAGGAACTAATTCAGAGCAGTTTGCATAAAGCCTAAATGTTAAAAAGCATTTTCCTTTGTGAACTGTTCAACCTAAAATTGTAAGTTCATATGTGTATTATACTTGGGAATCTTAAGTCTGAATGCCTAGCTGTAACAGAATATTATAGAACTAATTTCGTTACAGATTCAGTATTTTCAATGACCACTCACTCCAGTTGGTCAAGCCAGAGTCATCAGTCACAAGGTAATTTAATGCAAATGTTTACTTAATAAATGGTTTATAGAGCTAAATATTAGGTAAAGTTCCGGTAATTCTCACTGAGTCTGGTAATTATCTATCTATCGCAACACTGAACGTGGGACTAAGTATTCAGCAACGTATGTCCGTACGTACTTCCCGTTTCTTGTTAACACGATATCTCATGATCTGTTACACGAAAGCAAATAATCAATACGCGAAGGGCTATGACCCGAGCAAGCCAACCAATCATATTCTCTACCTCGACGTTACACCCAATGTCTTCAAATTGGGGAATACGCAGACACAAAATATAAAAAGTAGTAAACATGTGATAAATATTTATTTTTTAGCGGTGGGGCACATTGCCACAATATTGGCAAACACTTGTTATCATTTCTTTTAACTTTGAAATATTCATTTTTGTTGGAAATTTACATGTATCATTTCCAAATGGGTATCTTTACTTTTTTTAGTGAGAATAAACTGGACTGAATGTCAAGTCCGCCTGCTCATTACTCTGCGGCAGCAGTATGAGCATTTGTTTACTAGCAGCATCGTCACCCAGAAGCAGGCTTGGAAGAAAGTAGCCGACGAAATGACTGAGAAAGGTTACTGCTACTCTGGGGATGAATGCCAGAGGAAATTCGGTTCCTTGAGGCTAAGGTATTATGATTCACTCGTACTCGGTTCAAACAAGAAATGGTGTTCTGTTCCTATTTTCACAACTGTTCATTCGTTCATTCCTGTTTTCATCCCAATGGCATATAATGTGGGGGGTATAGTTAACACCAGTTTCCAGAGCATTACAGGCAACAGCTATGTTGCTGTTGTTCTGATTTCCATGGAAACGATTTGTAGTTCATCACAAAAGAGAGGGGAAACAGTACTTTGTCTAAGTTTAATGCACGTTGCTGTACCCGCAACTAGGTGTTTGCACGTTTTCATGTGGCCACCATGTGTAAAGTGCACAGGGTTGTGTGCTGTACACTAGGGGTTGCGACAACACTGAAAGAGTCTTCACACAAAAATGACTCTAAGGTTTATATACTGAGTGGCAGGTGGGCTCGATTCCGGCACCTTGAGCTGGCTGGATCACTAGCCTGACGCGATAGACACCTCACCCACCGCGCCCCCATTGTGTCTGCAGTTATCAGGAAACTTGATTTTAAAAGGTGGTTTTTGACTGATTATTGCAGTCAGGGTTCCTTTTCTCTTTGCAGATACAAAACAATAAAGGACCGTAATAACAAGACTGGCAGGGGCAGGTCAACATGGAAATTCTTCAGTCTCATGGATGAGATGTATGCTGGGGATCCAGCAGTTGAACCCCTTGCTGAAGTCAGTAGCCTTCAGAATCCGAAAAATCTAACCAGGGCCCCAAATAGTCCAGAGAGGGAAAGAAGCGACTGTGTAATGCGTTATGATTCTCCTAATACATCCAACAGCAAGAAGGCCCCTGCCAAGACAACACCTAAAACTCCTGTATCTAAGAGAGGCACAGCCTCACTGGCGGATCTATCGGAAATGAGAGAACAACAGAAGAAACAGCATGAAGAGAGAATGGAGTTGGAGAAGAAAAGATTAGCAATTGAGGGAAAAAAGACTGGAAACTCTTCAGAAATTAGTAGATGCTATAGTAAATTCCAAGAAGTAAATTATATATTTATATACTTATCCTATCTCACGACTTTCACCTCTCTCTCTCTTCATTCGACCATGAGTGGAAACGAATAAAACTTTGCTCCAGGCCGACCTTGTCCCTGTACCTGTGCTGTGCATGCCTTCCTGCCTTAGCTGTGCGGTGTCTTTTTGTCAGAGTGATTTTTGTGGTCGGTCTCCTTCACCTCAGGTGAATCAGGATATCCCGTCTAGTCAGTCTAGAGCTAGTGAGCACAATATTGGGACAATATTCAACACGACAGGTCATGATGTTTGTGCCCCAAGAGTGGTGGGACAAGATTCAGTGAAGTGCACGACTCTTTTGTCCTTTTATGGCTCCAAGATCGAGAATGAGTATGTAAGGTGATCATGTGGGTGAGGACTGCACATGCAACGTGCTGCCACGGCCTAGTGAGCATGGCGAAGGCAGGAAGGCATGCACAGCACGGGGACAGGGAACAGGGAAAAGGTCGGCCTGGAGCAAAGTTTAATTCATTTCCACTCATGGTCGAATGAAGAGAGAGGTGCAAGTCGTGAGATAGGATAAGTATATAAATATACAATTTATAGTTACAATTTCCAAATTTGTTTCCATAAGATCCATTTGAATTATTTCTATTTTGTACCGCTTTTTTAGGTCTTCAAAACTGAGATGACCTTTTTCATCACAAATATTTCTGACATAATGTATACAGACTAAAGTTATAGCAACAATTTTAGGCAATTACCTTGTTCGAGGTATGTATCCGCTTTTGAACATAAGGGAATGATATGCCATTCAGCAGCTGACAAAAAATCTTGTTCCATGTCGTGTCTAATACAGAGTGTATTTAGTATAGATTAGTAAATCTGCATACATTTTAACACTACCTTCTCACAGATCCAGTGTGCAAGGTAAAAGTAATTAATCAATCAGCGTTATTGGTTAATCCTTTGATCGATGTTTGTTTGAAAACTTTGTAACTCATTTGTTAATACCTCTTGCTGCACTTTCCAAGCGCATATAACATAACATGTTATATATTTGCCACATCAGACCTTATTTTATACTGTTGAGTATTTACTCCATACACAAGAAATGCCAAATGGGAACCCTTGTCAGGTAATCTTGAGTTGTGTTACTACTACTATTATTATACCTGTCATAAATTCGGAAATCAATGTGCGTTGGGGGCGCGGTGGGTGAGGTGTCTATCGCGTCAGGCTAGTGATCCAGCCAGCTCAAGGTGCCGGAATCGAGCCCACCTGCCACTCAGTATATAAACATTTGTTTGGCATGACAGTGTTTAACCATGGTAAATATTTCATTCAGAGAGTAGAATAATGTAGAGAGGAAAATATTATGTGCACTTCATCTTAGGTGTCGAGATCCATGCAGTGTTCACAGCAGATGTTATAGTCGTACTGTTGTTTCTCCTTCCTGCATGCATTTACCTTCAGATTGTTCAATGCTATTCTGAATTTACAGAATGTGGGTACCAAAGACAGGTAATATATGTTTCTGTATTAAAATCATTTTAAAATCCAGAGTATAATGACTGATAACTTGAGGTTGAAATTTTCAAATGCTGATCCTGACACCAACATGTTGTGATAACCGAGCCCATGTTTGTAACATATATTACATATATGTACTTTCCACTTTCATGCATTTTCATTCATTATTAGCATATCCAATCCTGACTATGCAGACTCTATGGGATGCTTGTAACATATCATGTTACATATATCTACTTTCCTCTTTCAAAGTTGTGCCCAATGTATGTCTATTAAACTTAATGTGTACATATTAAAAAAGACTGTTTTATCCATGTGTTTTGTTTGCATTACAACATAGACGTGTGTGCACGAGTCACGTGATAGCGATTAGATCATATCATCAAGAAGCCATTTTATGTAAATATTTAATTGGATGGAAACAATTGATTTCAGAATAAGAACTTTATTTGTATGGCATGGAACATGGCTGGTAGTAACAAGAGAAGATTGATTTATTTACATGTCATGCATTTGTACATATAAGAACATTTATCATATTATTGGAATGTACAAAAAATATGTCCATTTTGGCCTATGAGACACTAAAATACAGTTATGGTTACAATATTAACACATACATCACTCTCACTCAGTCAAATATATACATTACATGAGACATTGATTATATTTCCTAATTATTTCCTGAAAAACTTGGGGCGGTGGGGTAGCCTAGTGGTTAAAGCGTTGTCTCGTCACGCCGAAGACCCGGGTTCGAATCCCCACATGGGTACAATGTGTTAAGCCCATTTCTGGTGTCCCCCGCCATGATATTGCTGGAATATTGCTAAAAGCGGCGTAAAACTAAACTCAGTCAGTCCTGAAAAACTTGGGGCGGTGGGGTAGCCTAGTGGTTAAAGCGTTGTCTCGTCACGCCGAAGACCCGGGTTCGAATCCCCACATGGGTACAATGTGTGAAACCTTCTGGTGTCCCCCGCCGCGATGTTGCTGGAATATTGCTATAAGCGGCGTAAAAACCAAAACTCAGTCCTGAAAAACTTTGACGATGTGAAAGAAACCTATATATCTTTACACCAAGAGATGGGCAATTTCCATTCTCTTTTCAGATACAGATTTAAGTTCTTGAGGATCCCTTTCTGATTGTGCTTCAGTTTCTACTGCATCAATGTCTTCAGTATCAATGTCACTTTCGTCAAAGGATTCCTGGGTCAAAATAAAATTGTGCAAAACGCAGCATGTGATAATGACTTCAGGCATTTCCCGAACATTTTTCATGTCCAAGTATTTGAGTTTTCTGAACTTCCCTTTCAAAAGTCCAAAGCATCTTTCAATGTCCACACGCGTTGAACTGTGTGCATTGTTGAATGTTTTCTCAATTGCTGTCAGATGTCCATTGTCTCTGAATGGGACAAGCAGGGACTTGGACAGAGCATAAGCAGAATCACCAAGTAGGTGGTACATTTCCGGTAACGGATTATCTTCTAAGTACTGACACAGCAGGCTGTTCCGGTAGACCCTTGAATCGTGTGCTGATCCAGGATATGCACAATAGACATCAATGAACTTCAAGCTGCCGTCACACACACCCTGCAGGTGCATTGCTGGGAAACCTTTCCTGCATATGTAGGAATCTCTGAAGAAGCTGGGTCCTGGAATTGGTATGTAAGATCCATCCAGCATGCCAATTACGCCTGGAAACCCAGCTCGTACAGATGCTGCATCAGCATTTTTTCGATAATCTGTGTCCTTTGGCCATTTTATTAATTGTGTCATAATTTGTGTACTTGTCATGGTTCTACAAAAATTGCCAAGAAAATAATGCAAAGAACCTTTGCTCATCCCAAATCTATCTACCACACTTCGAAAAGTTTCATGGTTACAAAGGTACCACAAACAGGCTAATGTGCGGGTCTCCAGGCTTGTTGTTCGACAGTCTGTGTGAGGACCAATCATCTCCAACAGGGACTGTAAAGTAATTAAAACAAGTTGTATGTGGATAGTGTCGTAACTGGCGATTGGGTGTTAGTAAACCCTACCCCAGTTGCCTATTAATTACGGTCATTCCACATTGTCGGGGAGATGGTAGCTCTGGCGCTCCACTCGCTTGGTCCGTTGCAGGACGCTAAGTCAAGGAGTGAGGGTTCTGACGACCGTGACTCCTAATTAACCACATAACAGTCATGTACTGGCACACATACATTCAAAGAAAAACGCAACACAAGTGTATACTCTCATAGTTTTACTCAGTCTCAGTCCATCTCTACAACTTCAACATCAGACAAGGCAGGTTCGTGCCACACGAGGCAACTGAGTGGCGTGGACTGGCTTCCGTCACTAAAAAGCGTGCACCACTCGCTCAGTGCCCAACCTATCTTTTTATATGGTTCGAGCCTGGCCTGATCTTGATCACATGTTTCAACTAATCATTTTGATTCGGTTAGCCTGTATTCGACCTTGCACTCATGAATATTACGATTGGAAAAGTACTGGTAAAAATCATTCGGTTACTCATCCCTTTATTGTTTGTTTCAATATAAGATTAATCTGTTATGTCTTTCACAACAAATGTGTTCTGTCTCTCTTTCCATAGCCTACGGCTAAACGCCATTCTATGGAAACTTTCCGTCTCCATACCGTGCCTAACCGCTATGACTCATGAACAAACTGCAAATCTAAATACGAATCTGATATAATTCTCTCATGGTTTTGGGGATGAATTTTACCTTAATAACAATAGCAGAGACTAGAAGATAAGATTATGGGCTTACCTATACATGACAGACCCCTTTCCTTTTGTATATATTTCTGTATAAATGATCTGACAATGGGCCAATACTTTTTCAAATGAACTATCACTAAACGCAAACTAGTTTTATTGCTTGGTCATGCGAGGAATTAGAACTACTGACTACGTTGCTATGTGATCACCCCGTTTGGGAAAACCAAATAGCAATAATATTACAAGTTTGGTAAAGGTTCCTTCATTTTTAATCATTTATGCACCATTCAGCAAAAACTCCAAAATACCATACCTGCAATGAAGTCCTAGTCATTCGGAAATGTGCCCTGAATAAAGGGTCACTGTAACGTGGCACAACTTCTTCCACGTACTTCTCGATTCGGACAGTCCCCAGTGGTTCAGTGCGTTGCATGCATATTTCTTCATATGCAGTAATCAGCATATTCTCATCATCCAGGTAGGAAAAGTCAGCATGAGGCACTATTCTTGTTAGTTCGCTCAACGCAAGATGTACAATATTCGCATTATCCATATTCGCCGCCATTTTGAAAACAGTGCTGCCACGCAGGCGAGTACACGCTTCCGTTCAGGAACGGCAATCGCGTACGCGCACTGGCGGTGAACGAGAACTCGCCTTGCTGAACACGCGGCTGGTCTGAATTCAGTAGTCTTTGCAGGCCTTAATTAATGCCTTTAGGAGTAGGTAACAGCAACCGGTTATTAGCTGCCACCCACCCATTTTCTGACTTTCTGGCTTCAGTTATACACCTTTTACGATGCTTCCTCAGATCCCAATGAACGTAGTACCCATCGCAAAAGTCACATGGAACATAAACTTCCCAAGAAACATCGTACTTGGTCTGTATGCTATTATTAGTGTACCACAGCCCTCTTCAATAACTTTACTGTTGTGCTTGTGGTTTTCTAGATTACGCAACTTGCAAGTCATTTGAGATTTAATCTCTTTGTCTGTTTCAGTATCATATTTGACAACTTCATTTTCATCACCATGGCTAGTTAGGAGATGACGAGGCAGTCTTGACTGTGGCTTGCTACAATTAAGGCAAAATAATCTCTTACACCCTTGAATCTCCATATGCACTGGTACTCATCTCAACAATGGAGTGAGTGAGTGAGTTAATATTAACGTCACATCTGCAATATTTCAGCCATATCGTGACGAGAACATTTTACATTGAAATGGAATATGTGTATATTATAAAACCTATCATCGAAGGACAGTAAAACAACTAGAATATCACAATTAGATTTAAAACTAGTGTGGAATGTTAAAACTAATAGCACTATTAGGACAATACAAGATAAAAACAGGCTATAGATCGCCAACAACTGAAGGTAGATCACCATACTAGGGACTATGGGGACTTACAGTACCTTTTCTACCTGCATGGACCCTAGCTGGATTTACACCATCCCTTCAGCCATTGGCGTTTATACTGAGATTTAGCCATACATTAAAATGACAAAAATACTACGATTAAAAAACCTGGTAGACTTAATAAGGGCTCCTCGCCACAAGGCAGGAGACCTATTGGAATCGTTAATATTTTTATTATTATTATTTATTCCGCCGTATTTTGTACAACTTCTACAAAAAAGCACCGATGGACAGAATCGCTTGAAACAAATCACCAAGGTGCCGACAATGCTGAAGTTGTTTCTGCAAAAATCTCAAGGCTCAAGGCCCAATAGCAATGGGGAAACAATTCAAAATTCAAAAATTTCAATTTCCAAACCAATAATCTCCGAAACTACAAGTCCAGTGACTACCAAATTTCTGGAGCAGCTCTGGAAGTCGATTACCGCATGTCATATGTGTGTGCATCTGATAGCTGAAGTCCTGGCGATTCCAGAACACTAATTGTTTTAACTGTACTGTCTATTAAAGAGGGAACTATTTTTCTCCAGAACTTCTTAAAAGGTACATGAGCCCGGCTGCATTTCAGCCTGTCGTTCGCGTGTCAAAAACGTGTTCGGGCTCTCTTTTTGACGATTTCAAGCCCCCAAATTCCCTTCATACACTTGTAACTGAACCTTCCCATTTCGACCAAATTTTATGTCTTTGAAGACTATAACTGTCGATCCTAAAATGTAATTGCACTATCATAGCTCCCGGAATACTGAGCCAAAACTGAACGTTTGTACTGTATCAGTATTGTATGCATATGTATTGTGTACTTTTGTGCATGTTAAAAGAACCACCACCTGCGGATAAATTTGATTTCAACTTCAAGTGAAATTCAGTACAGTAAACACAGCACCAAAAACCGGATAGTAAACCATTGAAATAAACGTAAATACAGTAGGAAATACATGCCCTGACCGGGTTTACGTATGTTTTCAGATATTTCCTAACTTCGGGCATATATTTCATATGAATCTATACCTTTGAAACATATGCTCATCGTACATTTTCGTATGCACAAGCACCTCGTTCATGTATGCCCTGACCGTATTGTCAGGGATTTCCAAATATGAACTGCAAAACAGATACCCCGGTAAATACATGATCATACAGTATTTCCAATGCTTTCCTTTGAATTTCAATGGGTGCTGAAATTTCCGATTCCGTTCTAAGTTTACTCGGGTTGGAAACATGTGAATTTACTTAGGTGGGGAAACACATGTAAAGTTTCAAATTTGCAAATGTTTACACACCTTAGATATTTATGTGTCATACCGGATTTCAGGGGTATGTATATGAACGGTTCATACACCATCATGTTACCTGTACTCAAGCAAGATGATCATATGTTTCCATCATGTGAATTACTTGGCTCATGTAATTTCACTTTCACACATTTGAGTACGTTTGAAATCAACGTTCACATGACCTCAATATTCTTATCACCAAAGAGCCTGACAAAGAAAGCGGTATTACGCAAGCTAACACGCCTTATTAAGCTGCACTCGCTCTTGCTACCAGTATCAGTTACGCCTTGTCTGTGGTGTTGGCAAATCTTGTGAGGTGCATGTTTCGAGGGATTGAAAGGTTCAGTGGTGAACAAAGGGCGATGCGTTGCCCCTTTGTCCTCGCAGTGTCCCTAGCTGCCCCAAAAGAATAGCACTTTGTCTCTCTTGGAGCACAGTCAAATATGCTACACGAACCAACTCGTAATTTCTTAAGTCTGTTCAGCTCGCGCATCTGCTGTAAAATATTTTGTGGCAGTACATAATTGGAATATTATTGCACTGCATGTGACCTTCTTAATAGTCTCACAGTGCCTAAACCATGTTATTTCTCCATTCGCTCAGCCTTTGCTGAAATAAAGACAAACATAAACTTTAAAGTTTGTTTCACTAACGCAAAAGTATACAATAAGAAACAATGCCATATCAAATTATATATTCTGTGAGACATGAAATGAAAAATTGTTTTGATCGAGTAGCGATTATGACCGGATAGCACAGGCGGGTGCGTTCTCTGAGTATATCATAGACATGTTGGATTTCCGTGCCTTTTGTGAAATTCGTCTATATTGTCCTGTTTAAATGACGATCCATAACTCAGATTGCGAGTAAATATCACCTAAGTAATTGTGATGTCGCATTGCTGTAAATTTCCCTGTCGAAGAAGTCATTCTCACAAGTTGTATATTCCCTTGTTTGGAGAAGATCTATGGCTATTACGCCCCAGTGTTGCTAAACATCTTATAGGCCTTTAGTCTGACACAGACGCGGACATCGCATGTTCAAGTTCTTATCTGACAGGGGCTGAAAATATCATTCCGACATGAATACAATATCACAGTGTTTTCCTAAGTAAGTGGAGATCTTTCTACAACATTGGAAATAACTGTATCGTTGTCCTTCTGATATTCCCCCAAACGTAAGCTCTACCCATTTAGGGTACAATGTGTAAGTTACAGAATTGTAGGGAATAGTCTTAAGACTTTTCTACTTTGACCAGGATTCTTCGAACTTGTAACAGTCGTTTGAGAAGATCAAAAGAGAAAAGGGTAGGGTGCGATGTATATGACGGACGTATATGGAGAACGTTCTAAGAACTTTATAAATACAATAATAGAAA